CCTTCAAGGGTTGGTAAACAGACCTGGGGAAGAAATTCCAGTTAAAGAAACAATTTGAGCACAGGCTTGGAGCTGGAAAAGGAAGGAAATACATGGATATAATTCATGAAAGGTGGGCTGAACGGGAATAGTAGAATATAAAACTGCAAAAGATTTCCTGGCGAAGACCCGATGAGGACGACCTGGAATGCAAAGCTAAATTATTTGAACTGTAAATAGTGAGAAAAAAGCCAGTGAAAGTTTTTGAGCAGCAAGGTGATAAGTTGAAGGATAAGATGGAGACAAAGACATTAATTAGATTGTCACAGTAGTTTGGGCAACAGGTAAATGGATTCTGTAATGGCAGTGGAGATGGGAAGGACAGGATTTAGGTCAGAGGTCTCTCACTTACAAAAAGTAGGTAATGTAGGTAAGCGATATGAACTGGATGGGGATTCTGGCAAACCTGGTCAGCCCTTTCTTAGCTCCAGCTGATTGTTGCCTTGCTACTAGAGTATTATCTCTGTAAAAAAACCTGACCAAGAGAATCCAGAAATCCAGAATTGTATATTTATTTGCCTATTTTAAGTGTTGGTGTCTAACTTCCAATTTGAAGCACATTCTATGAGCCAATCAAGATATGCCTGTGAGCCAAAGGTGGCCATGACTGAATTTGCAACCTCCGTAGTGACAGAATCCACTTGAAAGGGGGAATGTCAAAAACTGGATGCTCTTTTTGGAAGAAAGTGGTTGAAGGGGATAAGCACTGAGAAAGGAAATGGTGCTTCAGCTTCTCTAACCTAATCGTAACCAAGGGAACAGTGCCCTTTTGCTACATTTTCTTACTAAGGCACAAACCATGGGGGTAATATATCTGCTACAGTTTCAACACTAAAGATCAGTGATTATAGATAACAGTGCCCATTCTTTCTACGTCCTGATAAAAATCACCTCAAAGAGTTTTGAAGTAATTTGTTTCTGAACCCTAATTAAAACTGACACCAGGGGTTATGGTAACTCAACCTATCTTTTCTGTACATTCCTTCCATTTGATGGAAAACTGTTAATCATTGAACTTTATGTACCCTAATTGAAACTTCTAACTCACCAGAAGTTTACGTGTACTCCTCTGACTATATAAGCGCCTCTGCCCCCTTTCCCGAAGTTTGAGCACTGTTTCAAGACTTCTTGAAGCTCTGCTCTCTGGCTAATAGTCCTCAGCAAGGACCATAAATAACAATCTTTCTAATATTTCCAAAGACTCAGGTTCTTTTCGTTGACAGCACCAAAAAAAAGCTAGTAGAAGTTGGAGATCACCCCAAGGTTTTTACGACAGACTTACTGTAGCTCCCTGGCTCTGGTTTCCTCCCTTCTCATCCATTCTCCATCTTACAGCCAAACTGATCTTTCCAAATAAAAAATTTGGTCAAATCTCACGTCTCAGCTCATAGTCCTTCAGTGCCCCTCCATAGTCTTTAAGTTAAAGTCTAGACCAGCGGTTCTCAACCTGTGGGTCGCGACCCTTTTGGGGGTCGAATGACCCTTTCCCAGGGGTCGCCTAAGACCATCGGAAAACAAAAAGATACTTACATTACGATTCATAACAGTAGCGAAATTACAGTTATAGAGTAGCAATGAAAATAATTTTATGGTTGGGGGTCACCACAACATGAGGAACTGTATTAAGGGGTTGCGGCATTAGGAAGGTTGAGAACCGCTGGTCTAGACCATCAATGTAGTGGTGAAAACCCTTGCTTCCTTTGCCAGTTTCCTTACCACCTCTCTCTCTCCAAGGCCGGTCCAGCTTGCCCGCCCACCTTAAACTCCCTGAGGTCATGTCTGTGTAAATCACCATTCTATCCCTATTGCCTAGCAGAGTGCATGACAAAGTAGGACTCAGTATGTATTCGTTTATCTCTATAAAATTTTGAAGGATCTTTTTTCAGCCTCAATTCATTGACTCCCCTGGTTAGCCAATGAGCTACTCCTAAGAGAGTTCTGGAGAGTTTGCTCAAGGAGCAACCCTGCCCCCACCTGGCAGCAAGAGGCACTGCCTGGCTTAATGGAGGAGGAGATTCAAATGACCCGTGCTTTGTCAGGAACTGTGAGACAAGACAGTAACCTTGGTGGAGAAAAAGGCCCTATTTGATAACAGAATTTCCTGGATTGTGGAGAAATATGACACTGAGGAGGACTAGCCTGGTCTCTGGGGAGATGAAGATGGTGAAGATTGTAAGGACAGGCTTACACGCTGTATTTGGGGACCTGAGTGAGGAAAGTATGGAGAGTTGATACAGTAATACCAATTCTTAACCTTTTGGCTAAGATGGTACAGTATCTGTTCTTATCACTGTAATATCTGCTGTGTCCTCCCACCGAGGACAATGTACTACATTGACTTTGGAACAGGAGCTTGCTGTGTCTGCTCTGTGCACTGACCTGACATGACATCGCAGTACTCCTAGGAATGACACACCCCTTGAGGGGCATTTAGTTGTTAAACAAGAGATTTGTTAGCTAGATAGCTTTAGTGGAATTACATCTCTTTTAAAAAAATGAGCATGGTAAATTACAGCAACTGGATTGATTAGTAAAGGATTTGATTATGGACTTGGAAGAGGTAATATGAACCATGTGAAGCTGTCTAAGCTAACAAGCACGTTTATTGTTTCAACAACCAGTGATTACTTTAGTAACTATTCAGGTAGTGGCAGGGTTGAACAGTGCTCACTGAACTTTTTGGATTATGCTCCTTATCAGTAAAGAAAAAAGTAGAATACCCTAATATATGATGATTTTTAAAGCATATTATACTCTACATTAACAACTATTTGAAAAGGAGGGAAATTTTTTAAAGGATGAAATATAAAAAGGAGTTAAAATATTTTTTTCTTTTTTTTTTTTTTTAAAGGTTTTATTGGGGAATTGGGGGAGGTAACAGTGTTTGGGAATTGGGAAAGGGGAACAGACAAGTTGCTGTCCTTTTGTTCTTCAGTCTAGT